TTACCCAGTGAGTTTCATAAAGGCAGAAACTATGTCTTATTTATCTATGTACTTTCATCCTTTAATACAATTTTTTGTACACAGTAGGTATTCATTAAATTCTTCAGTTTTAAAATGCTACACAGTAAATCAGATTATGTTCACCCTATTCATATGTTGTAGTTCAATTCAGGGACTATCTATTGAATGCTTATTATGTTTCAAAAACTTTCTTAGATTCATGATTTTATAGAATTAATAATTTTTTCAACAGTTGTCTTTAGAGACTGAGGTTGATTTGTTTGTTTTCCTTTTAAAATAGTTTTTCTTCTCTTAGAAAGCAATAGTTCAATTCTTTTGATCTTATTAAATGAAGCTCTTTAGACTTTTTACCATTTTTTTTTTTTTTTTTCTGGAGTAGCCGAGTTTGAACATGCTGGTTGTCTTTGAGCTTGTGTCTTTAGCTTGATTATTTCACCACAACATTTGGCCAATCGTAGGTTGGGATAGCTGATGTGATAGATTTCTAATTTTCTTCTTCTTAATGCCTTTTTTCAGATAATGCAAAAAGATGTGTGCCAAGTTATATCAGAGCAACTGCAAGACTTACTAAGTATGCCAGGCACTATGCTGAATCCTAGCTGGGTTATTTTATTTAATTTTCATCACATTCACCTTGTGAATGACAGCATAAAGGATTAAAAAAAGTTACATACCTGTTGTTATACAATTAGCAAGCAGCAACACATGAAAGATTTAAATTCAACTCTCTGATTCTTGAGCCCAGATTTTGTCACTACTTCCAGTACTTCTTATACTTAAATAATGTGCAAACTCCTTGAAAAAAAAATCCGAAGGATTCTCTGTCCTTGGAGAATCTCTCCAAAAATCCAAGTTTGAGAAACACTGATTTAAGAAATTAAAGTTTTAACCTATTGAAATGCCTTTCAATATGAATGTTGCTACAAAAGAGAAGTTTTAGATTTGTAATGAGGTAAGGTGACTTGTTCAAAGATTCCCTTGATATAAAAACACAAACTATACAAATCTCACCTCTTCATGAATTTGTCTGTAGAGTTGGGTTTATAGCCAGTGACAGAACCCAGGGACTATCTCTACCCCTGTAGTAGACACTATGGAGCATAGTCCAGATCCTGCCTTCGGAACAAAGACCGTCATTCCCCTGAGGACCAGAAGTGTCCAGTGCTGAGAGTTCACAACTTATTCCTTCCCCAAGAAATTCTTTTGGCTGAGCAAGTTTATAACCCTTTCTTGGAGGCAGCATATTTCCTATGACTAATTGTTTAGGGTGGGGTGTATGGTGGGACAAAGGCCGAGCTCTTTGCTTCAATTCAGCTCAGGTCTGAGGGGATATTCAAGCTTCAGAGAACTGTGTGAGAAGGGCCGAGGCCTCTGTTACAACTGCCTTGCAGGTCAACCTCTCCCTCTGCAGGTCAACCTCTCCCTCTGCCCTGTCCTGTTTTTCTCACTTCTTTACAAGCATTATTGCTGAGAATACTTCACAATAAACCACCTGTTTGTGAATATCTGGCTCAGAAACCAGGAGACTCATGACAATATCTAAAGCCACCTCAAGGAAACACTAAATAAAAACAGAATGATTTCTATGTGTATGCTGCTTAAGACAAGACTACAAAGGCTACATTTCAAGCAGACTGTTGCCTCTTCAGCTTCTCCTTCAGATATTTTGGAGAAAAACCACAAGAACTTTTGACTCTAACATACTGCAAGTGTAGACATTAAGTATCTGCAACAACTTCCTCATCCTTAGACACCATTATATAGAAGCCTCTAATCCCTCCCTAGAGCAGAGAATCTATATAACACAAACTGGATTCATACAGTTTAGACAAAATCAACCACCCCACAAAACAAAACAAAATAAAAAACCAAACCATAATAGCAGTTTTAATTATCTTGCTTGGTTTTCTAATTGGCCAAGTAAATAGAAAAATTGACACTAAAACACTTCTCTTTGTATCATGTAGATTGTCTAAAATTATAATGTAATATTTAGGCTAACGCAGCTTAACTGACATTATGAGGATGATAGAATCATATAAACCCATAGTGGGAGGTTCTTTGTGGGTTTATGTGGGACTAGTGGCCAATCCTTTTATCCTTTAGTAATCTTAAGCAGGAACAATTTGTATAGAGTTCCAGTAATTGGAGGTGTGCCTGAGTTGCTGAGGAGTAAGAATGCAAGAAATGCACAAGAGAAATACACAGTGAGACACACTTATGAAATAAAGTACAAATGTACTTTATTTCAGAATATGATGTTGTAAACATGAGAAAGAGATGAGTGCAAAATCATCATATGGCCAATATAAATAATTCAAGCCCCAAATCCATCTGAGGCTCAAACTGTCTCATTTGAATCATTTTGGATTGATTAAGAAAAAATACCACAAAAAAATGAACAATTGCCAAATCCATCCTTTTCAAAACTTTGAGTTGTTTAACTAAAAAGAAAAAAAAGTACTTGAGATTACAGTTAGAATTAATATACATATATACCTCTACCTTCTGAACTTAGTTCTAGGATAAAATTCCAATGTATAAGCAAAAAAAGAGAAATAAATACACTGTCACATCAAGATCAAAATAATTTTAAGTGTCCCTTGTTTCCTTTGTGCAACCATTATGACATGCTGGAATAATCAATGAAAGGCAAAAATAATTGTTCTTTTTCATTTAACTGTGCTATGGCAAAAAGAAAATGAGACTAGCAGTCAGGGGAGAAGTTAGGAATAAGATGCAATACAAGATACTTTGTATCACTGATTATTAATTATTATTATTATAGAAATGAAGAGGAAAACTCTCTTAGCTGGTTAGGATGTGGCAGCTAAGAAAAAATCCAGATGTAAATTCAGAAGATAATTTCTTTGCATAGTCTTTGCTGACTATGTTTATAGAAGTAAATGTCAAGGTAAGCTTGGCAAGGAGCAAAAGAAATGAGGCACATTTCTCTGGTGTCATTCCCGAGATGCTCTCTTTTGACTTTCGCAGTGTGCACAAGTCTGACACTGGGTTTCTGCTTCTTTATGGAACAGTATGCAAACACTCAAATAACAGCAGGATAGTCATTTTTCATATATGCTTTGTTTTCATTTCTATGACTTGGGAGGACCAAGTTTCCAAATGCAGAAATCTATGCAGTTGCTCTGCAAGTTGAGTCCTTGCTTGCACTCTGGATTTTATAAAGCAATTAGTTTTAAATATGCTCTTGGAAGAGAGAGTGTAAGCTTTGGAATAAAAACCCTTTTCTCTGTGTCTTGCTTCCACATTGAACAAAACCAACTTCTTTTAGAGAGTAGAAAGGTGTGAATAAGACTTGTCAATACATTGGCCTTTTTGTGTTTTAGTCATATTTTTCTATGTTTATGAGACAGCATCTATCTAATCAACTATTATGTCATAACTTGTCAAGCCAACAGGTGTTAACAGAAAGAAATTGTGCCAGTCTCTTTTACAATACCTTTACTTTTAATGTCAAAAATATCAACTAATACTACTAGGAAGAAACACCATTTTACAGTTTACTTGTTGTTTTGTAATGAGGGTGGTACAACCCTTCCTCTTGATACCTTGAATCACTATCTCATTTTTTTTTTCTTTTACATTTTCTTCACTTCTGAACTTTTCTAAAATACTTTGTTACCTCTGTTTCTTCACTACCTACTCATTCTTAATTTCCCTGTGGTCTGAATTCAGCCCCATCACTTTGCCTGAAATTTTCTTCATAGTCACCAGTGACCTTTTAGAAAACAAATCTAAAAACGTTTTTTAACTGACTCATTTTTTGACCTCTCCATAGCATTTGCTTTATTGACTGCCCTCATCACTTTGAAACTCTTCTTTGTTCCCTTAACTTCCATGACCCCATACAAAACTAATTCTTACAACCAGCAGCATATCCTTTCAATTTCTCTGTTTTGGTCATGACTGAAAACCATGAACTTATTTTTGATTTATCTCGATTCTTTTCCTCCCAAGTCTTGCCTATTTTTCCTCTGTAATTTTCTATCTCCTTTTTTTTCTTCCGAAATATCCTATTACCATCCTTGTCCAAGTCTATGTCATACTTGTTCTTCTTAACTGGTTTCTTTGTGTTCAGTTTTTTCCTCATTCCAATCATTATAAAACTACTGCCAATTTTTTCCCCAAAACAATTTTTATTGAACAAGTCATTCCATCATGCCCTGTGTTTGGAAGAGGCTGGATTCAAGCCAGTTGGGAATGCATCTGTTCTGATGATATATTTCCCCTAAATTAGACAGACAAATTGTTCCAGCAAAGATGCAGAGAAAACACATCAGCATTCATCTTGGATATAGATGCTGAGGCCAATTTAGTCTGAAATGTTGGTTAGATTGCATGAGCTAAAGGTCAGAACTGTGCTTTCAATGACAACTTGAAGAGTTGGAAGTTGGAACGGAGCCAATGAAAGAATGTGTTGAAGAATATAAGAGGCTGTAAACCAGAAAGAGCAGGCCAGTGTGAAAACAGACAAGGGAAGATATTATACAAGTTCTCAAAGGAAATGGAAGTCAGGGGACTAGGGTGAGAAATTTTGGTTGATAAACTACTAGAGAGGATGTGGGGATGATAAGGGAGTGGCGAAGCTAAGTTCTACAGTATATGCTGTGATTTTTGCCTTAGGAATAAAGGTATGCTGACTGAGCTTAGGAACACTAAAGAGGGAGGCAAATAATTTTCTAGGCTGATTTGCCAGAGAGCGGTTCTTCTCTGAATTCATTTATATGAACATGTTGTTTTCATCACATGAATCGAACAATTTTTCTTCAACCGATTCCCACATATCTGCCATATTTCCTATCATGCGATGACCTTTCTTCTCTGCTTTCATGAGTTCAAACTTTCTTTTAAAATTCAGCTCATATTCTATCTGTATCATTTAATTTTTGGTTCAAAGCAATGAAAGCAAACACTGGCTAACTTAATTCCCCTTTACCTATTTATTCCGCCCAAAGGGTTTGGGGAGTCAGAGTTTACAGGAAGGATTCATGGAATCCACAGAAGGCTAGAAGATCAGGGTTGAGACACTTGGAACCAAGGAAGCTCTGGAAGCTTAAGAAGTAAGAGGCACAGCAAGTCTCACGGCAAGAAGAACTTGGTAAGAGCTTGGCCACTACTACTACCGCTGCCATGACCTTGACCTCCAACTACCCCCTGTCCTTGCATCCTCCTCGAATTCAAAGTCCTACCCATAGAAAATCCAGTTGGCCCAGATTAAGTCACATGTCCATCCCTTGTCTGGTCTAGTTTGTGGAAGAGATCTCTGCTTCCATAGTGCATAGAGAACAATAGCTTCAACCAAGAGTATACATGCTGGTGGCTTTCCCAAAAGGGAGAACAGAATATTGTTAGGAAAAGAAGAGTCAGAGGACCTGAGGGCAGGAACTTTTTTTTTTGTATTCTAGCATTCAATAAAGGACTTTGCACACAGCCTGTATGAAATAATTTTTATGAAAGATGATATTGACCAACTGTTCCATTTTTGGTGAATTATGTCCTATGAGAATCACCTGCATATTTTATTTAGTTTAATGTGGGATGAATCAAAGGAGGGCGGCTGACATTTACTGCATATTTACTGTGTGTTAGGTACCATACAGCTTTCTCTTGTAATAATAATGATAAAAACAAATGGCATTTATTTAGCTTTATTGTTTTTATAACCCATGCATGAAACTCATTGATTTAGATACCTTAGTTCATTTAATCCCCATAAGAATCATTCAAGATAAGTCTTATTGTCTTTTTTTGCAGATATGAGTAGTATTGGCTAGAGAAGTTTAGTAACTTTCCTAAAGTTTCACAGAAGATAAGTATAGAGTGGGAACTCAAAACTATTTCTGTCTGATTCCAAAGCCCTTTTAATATTTTGTATTGCTTAAGTAGCAAGAATAGAGTTTGTAAGAACAATAAATGTTTCCGGTCATTCATCATTAACTACTCCAGTTAGTATCAACCAGGAACTTATTTGGAATATACATTCTCTGCCCTCTCAACAGACCTACTGAATCAGAAACTCTGGAGGTCGGGCCCAGAAATCTGTCTTTTGGCATACTTTCCAGGTAAGTCTGATGTATGCTAGGGTTTGAGAAGTACTGATCTACCTCACTTCTCACTATTTGTATCTTTATGTGGCACCACACCTGTATACGTTGTGCTGAACCTTTATAGTCTGATTATTGTATTATTTTATATGTCATCATTTAAACTTTATTTGTATTTTTTTATTTTCCAATTTTGATTTTTAATTTATCAGATGTAGTCTTATGGGCTGCTCTTACTGAAGTCTCATATATGACAAAAATATAAAAATATGTGTGGAGTGTACATATAGGCTTCATGTCTGTTTGCCTGGTGTACTGAACTATTTTTCTCTTTCTTTTTTTTTCTCTGAAAATGTTTTATCTGCTGGGAGGAAAACAGAATGAGAAATGTAACTTAATCTATGCAGCCAAGACTCATCTCTGCTACTTCATACCCTTCCCCAGAGAAGCTCAATGTTTTAGACAGTGACTTTACATTGCCTTCTCTTTCATCTCTTGCAGGAGTCTCAATAAGGGTGTCAAAGTATTAATTATAATCATATATTTTGCAAAATTAGCCTTGGATTCATTGAGAATCTGCCCAGGTGTTCGAGATTTGACCACTTACAAATTAAATATTCATTGTCTCTGCTCTAAAACGTAAAGATTGTCTGCTGATCACTTGGGTCACAACACTTTTCAAGACCAGGTAGATATTCTAAACGAATGAAGGTTCCCTGCCCTGTTCCTCTCACCTGCATATCCAGCAGGTTGAATGTTATGAAGGTGGTTTTGAAGATAATGCTAGAATTTATGAATGTCTTCCCCCATTTTCAACAGGGATATGAGTTGGGAAGGGCAAGATGAATAGTTAGCTTTCCCTTCCTTATGCATCTCTCCTGTTACATTTATTTAAAAAGTGCATTTTATTTAACTCTTTAATTCCATTAATTTATTTTAATTTTAAGTTTAAAATACAAATGAAATAACTAAATGTAATTATTTTTAATTGCCAAGATTAGGTTCTAGTTACTTCTTTTTGTATCTTTAAGGAAAACAATCTGAATGTTTATCACTAGGATCTTTCTTCTGTATTAAAAATTTCCTTGATAAAAAGAGGGCTCATTACCTTATTATTTTGTTATATTAAGCGCCTATGCTAGCACCTATTTAGGCAGTGATTTTTTAGGCAATGGTTATTGAATATGGGACTGAAAGTGTCTTCTAAATAAATGAACTATTATTATATGTCCCCTGAACTTTGAAATTTTTGAGAAACATTTTAGAGATACTTATATATGAAGTTTACTTGAAAATTAATAGAGCTGCACAGAAGCTCTGATTACCTGTACTTGGTCTGTCTACAGTCTAATCATTTATTAACTTTTCCACTGTTTTTTTTTTTTTCTTTATTTTTTGTAACTCGAGGTAAAATATTTAGCATTCTGGTATTTTTTCCTATCCACTGGCCCAAGGAAGATAAGAGAAACATGGAGCAACCCAGGATCCAACCTACAGCTTAGAGCTAAGCTCATTCAAGCCCACACTAGGTCAGCTAACCCCTAGACAATGCACAAATGTGTGATCAAGAAAAAAAAAAGGCTGGGTGTGGTGGTTCATGACTGTAATACCAGCACTTTGGGAGGCAGAGGTGGGTGGATCCCTTGAGCTCAGGAGTCCGAGACGAGTTTAAGCAACATGGTAACACCCTATCTCTACAAAAAAATACAAAAAATTAGCCCGTCTTGTGGTGCACACCTGTAGTCCAGCTACTTGGGAGACTGAGATGGGGAGGTAGAGATTGCAGTGGGCTGAGATTGTGCCACTGCACTCTGGCCTGGGCAACATAGTTGAGACTCTGTCTCAAAACAAAAACAAAAACAAAAAACCCAAACAAACAAAATTAAAAGCTAAATAAAAAAAAAAGTAGAGTCACTGAATTTCAGCATTGTTTGTTAAATAGCATTATACCAGCAATGACTGAATGATACATTCAGGTTTTCATTCTTAATTTCCTTTCCATTCTTAATGCCACCATCCTATTATTCATTTAGACTATTGCTAGACCTCTGAGAATTCTTTCAACCTTTAGATTATTTTCCTCTCTTCTCATTTTATGCACCACACCAGATTCATCTTCCTATTCTAAAACATTTAATGATTTTGTATTATTTTCCAAATGAAGTCTGGATAAGCATTCTATCTCCATTTAGCAAAATTCTATCCATCCTTTGGTGTCTATCTTAAATGTCACCTTCTTTAGGGTCCTGCTATCATCCTCCCAATGATGAGCTTTCCTTTTCTTATGGACTTCTATAACACTCACAAATTTCATGACACTTGTCAAGTCAGCCCTGAATTATGGTTTTTAAGTAGGCTATTTTATTCTAAATTTTGGAGTGTGATTATTTCTCAAAAGGAATGACATGTGATTTCGGTATCCTCTACTCACAGTTTTATGTTTCTGCACAAAAAAATGTCTTCTAATAAATATTGTTTAATTGAATTTGTAGTCCACTACTCACAAAACTCTTATGCTGCATAAGACTCCCATTTCCTGGGTCTTCATATCATCGTTGGCAGCAGTGAAGTGAGGACCTGCATTCTGTTTCTTGGCAACAATCCTCCCCCTTTCCCACCAAAGCCTACTGCATCTTCACTGCTACCTGCCTTAAGATCAAATCATTCTCATTATGCTCTTTGTCTATGTTTATGTTAGTAATCACAAGAAGCCCAGGACCCATAGGCAATTCCCACTGCTGGTTTCCATTCCCTCGTGTCTCTGCATATCAGATTTTCCTAGTGCATCTCCAACAGGTTCCAAGTCCTGAAACCTTATTCCTTTTGTGCCTCTGGAATTTACAGATAGTCTTCAGCAATATCTTGGGTGTCTTCTGATCTCTGAATGTTCAGTTGACCTTTCTCTAGCCAAAACATGGCTCTCCCATGAAGATACCACTTTTACATTACCTTCGAGTCTGTTTTATTTTATTTTTCTCACATTCCTGTTATCACTTGGACCACAGATGAGGTAGTTATCTCTCATAGTCTTCCTTGCTTCTTTCAACACAGTTTTCCTCCCCTGTGTCCCTGCTTTGATCTCATATCACCAGGTTATACTACTTATTACCCTTTCTTGTTGTAGTCCATTACAAATCTCTGGGTCGTTTTTTATTTCTCAAGGATCCTTTCCCTTTTCTTTCCCTTTCCCTTTCCGTTTTCCTTTTCCTTTTCCTTTCCTTTCTTCTTTTTTCTTTTCTTTTCCTTGATGGAGTCTTGCTCTGTCACCCAGGCTAGAGTGCAGTGGCATGATCTCAGCTCACTGCAACCTCTGCTTCCCATGTTCAAGTGATTCTCCTGCCTCAGTCTCCTGAGTAGCTGGGATTACAGGTGCCTACCACCATGCCTGGCTAATTTTTGTATTTTTAGTACAGACGGAGTTTCACCATGTTGGTCAGGCTGGTCTCAAACTCCTGCCCTCAGATGATCTGCCTGCCTCAGCCTCTCAAAGCACTGGGATTATAGGCATGAGCCATCATGCCTGGCCTATCGAAGACTTTCATTTCTGAATGACAGTCGTACTCTTTAGCACTAATAAGAAGTCTTGGTGATTTTAATATTTTCTATTTCAATATCTGTGATGGTTAATTTTATTTCTCAACTTGACTGGAACACGGGATATCTAGATAACTGGTCAAACATTCTGAGTGTTTTGTGAAGGTATTCTTGGATGAGATTCATATTTAAACTGGTAGACTTAAGTAAAGCAGATTGCCTTCCATAAGGTGGGTGGGTCTCATCCAGTCAGTTGAAGGTCTGAGTAGAACAGAAAGGCCGACTCTCACCTGAGTGAGAGAGAATTCTCCTGCCTGATGGCCTTTGACCTGGGGCATTGGCTCTTCCTGATTCCATAGCAGACTGCTGGTCTTTGAACTCAAACTGGGACATTGGCTCTGCAGATTTTGGGCTTGCCAACCTTCATAATCATGTGAACCAATTCCTTATAATAAGCCTCTTCGTGTCTATCTATAGCTGTCTGTCTTTTTCCTATTGGTTTTGTTTCTGTGGAAAACCCTGAAGAACACAATATCCTTCTGATTCTCACAGTTCCTGGACTTGCTTTTTTTTTTTTGGCGGAAATGTCTCTACTCACTATCTTCAATTTCTCTCCGTTCTTTCTCTCTTGGTCCCACTAGAATCAGGCTTTCACTCTTCCCATTTCCTCAAAACTACTCTTTTCAAGTTCTCTAGTGATCTACCCAGTGCTAAATTCAATACTTCAATTCTTAGTCCTCATTTTACTGATTGAAACTATGCTGAGAGCCCAGCTACCTTTACTCCACTATTCTGGTCACAGCCAGCATCACCTTTCACGTCAATAGTAAAATAACCTCTTGCCAGGTGTCCCTGCTATCCCCAGGTCCTCATAGAATTTACTCTCCGTGTAGTAATAAGATACCTTTTTTGACTTCGTGAAGTATACCTCATGATATATTTTCACCTCTTGTACTACTCTGTTTCTAGTTCTGTTCTTACCACCCAACTTCTTTGCTGGTTTTCAAACATTCCAGGAATGCCTCAGGCTTTTGGACTTGCTCTTCCTTCTACCTGGACTATATTTTCTCTAGACAGCTGCAAACAACGGTATAGGTCTTTTTCAAATGTCTTCTGCCTGGGACGGCTTTTCTGACCACCTCGTCTAAAATTGTTATCTTCATCCTATTCCAACCCTTCCAGGTATCTCTTCATTCTCTGTTATTTTTCTCTGATTTTTTAAAAAATAGTATTTTTCAGTATCTGATATATTATGTACTTTTAACTTTATATTTATTTCTTATTTTTCAGTCTCTCTTCCCATTCTATTAGAATGTAAACTCCACAAGGGTAGAAGTTTTTACCTATTTTGTTTGCTATGGTATTCCCCATAACTACGATATTACGTAGCATATGATAGTGGTAAATAAGTATTTGTTGGCTGGATTAATGCTGTCAGTCACAGAAAAAAAAGTCCATTATTTTCTGATAGGTTTCAGAAATGAGATT